TTACGCGTGCCTTATTTGTCATCTCAGCCTGCGCTCCAAGAGACTGCAGACCGAATGCAGTCAAGGATTAGTTTTACCAACAGCCACATGACCTTCAGCGTTCTTCAAAAAAGTCTGACATTGTCATCCTTGCCGGAGATTTCAACACACGAGTGGACCGCCTGCCACCAAGCCAGCACCATCTCGGGGGTAGTTTTGGCCTCGGTAGCAGTCGACCAGACAGTGGAGACAGTATACTGACTCCTTGTTCTGATTATCGCTTGTTTTGTTCGAGCACCAGTTTTCGGCATTCGAAAAGACAGACATCTATATGGTGCCCGCCTTCTCAAACGCAACAGTGATCCCAACCTGACAACATAGCAATAAGCTACAGATCGTGCGGAAGCGTAACAGACTGCCGATCGTACCGATCAACCTGTCTGGACACCGATCATCACTGGTTCGCGCCAAGATCTGCATGTTTCGAAGGATCACCCAGACTTACGCACTACCGACTGAACCTCGACAATCTGCAACATCCTGCGACGTTGGCCAAGTACCAAGCTTCGCTGTCATCACTGATTACTTCATCCTTTGACGATGGTCTGAATTCGCAATGGATGCGCATCAAAGATGCCTTAATTTCTACCAGCACTGTCAGCTGTAGAGCTGCCTGTAACTCGCCGAAAAGCTGGATCACCACGGTCTCCTTGTCGCTGATAGACGCCGCTTGATCCCATCCGATACAAGCTGCAGTGAGGAACGCCGATCGCGGGATCGAGCGTTGAGTAAGAACTTACAGAAGGACCGTGAGACCTGGTGGTGTAAACTTGCTAGAGAGATGGAACTTGCTAAACCACAAAACTGTTCCACCTCATCCGATTCACCAAAGGCTTCCGATCTGGAGTAAGCGAAACAACCTGCGAAGAGGATGGCTACCTAAGCACAAATCTTGAACGACGGTTGCAGCGATCGGCCGAACATTTTCGCTCGCAGTTTTCCTGGCCGCCAGCTCCAGCTGTTCCCCTGGGGCGCGCAATGGCGCTAAGTGGACCATCCCCACTGATCCACCCTCTCACCGGGAAATTTGGCGGGAATGCTGCCTAAAGCGTTATAAGGCACCCGGTCCTAATGGTCTACCTCCTGCTCTATTTAAAGATAGGGGCTTATTTGCTGTTTCGAGAATTCACCGCTTTGTTCTCAGAAGTGGACAAAAGAGGAAGTTCCATCATCATGGAATGAGTCAGTAGTCGTCCCCATCTTCAAAAAGGGCCTGCGCATAAACCGTTTCAAGTACAGGGACACAAGATTGATTCCCGTCGTTTGCAAGATTCTGGTGCTTATCATTCTTCGCAGACTATTCCCAACGCATGAATCACTACAGCGAGAAGAACAGGCTGTGTCTCGCCCTGGTCGCGGATGCATCGATTGGATTTTCACACTGCCAGATTCTCCAGATCCGCCATGTGTGACAAAAACCAACGATTGTTGTGTTCCTGGATATCCGTGCTGCCTTCGATTCTGTCGACAGGGCTACATTGTGGCACTGTCTGTTGAGGAATGGTAATCTCGGGAAGTTCATTTCCGTATTGCGTGCTATGTATAGCCTGACCTCGAGTGGAGTTAGGGTTTATGGCAATCTTTCGCCTTCCTGTGTTGTCACTAGTGTTCGACAAGGACGCCCAATCTCTACATTTCACTTTTGCCATTGATAATGTTCTCAAAAATGCTCTAGAAGACTTGTAGAACGCTGGCGTTGAGTTCCTCGTTGGAAGTCGGGTGGCTGATTTGGATTACGCTGATGATATTGTCTTGTTGGGTGACGGTCTGCAGGCCGTCGTAAATGCACTTAACCGCTAGGCGATTGAAGCGTCGAAGTATGACATGCACTTTCACCACCCAAGTGCAAAGCACTTTTACAAGACTGGCATTCGCCCTAGCTGCACTCACCATCGGTGGTGAGACGTTGAAAGCAGTACAGTTTCGTCTACCTGGGAAGCTAAATCACTGCTGGTGGGGCTGTTGTAAACGAAATTTCACTGCGCATCTCAAGAGCTCGATTAGCCTTCTCCAGGCTGAGGTATATACAATCGATTCCGGTTAATCGGACCACATCGGGACCAGACCATTTTGGTCCTATTAAGCGGCTGGTCCCATTAACCGAAGTTACCCGATGTAACAAGATGGGACGTGCTATACATAACATGGGAAACTACTATTATGACCTGTATTGGCGGCATATATTTATAGCAAACACACACGATAAAAGGTCTTCAAATTTTTATGATGCCCATGTCCATTGGCTGTATCAAAGAGGTGGTCTTGGGAGGCAGAAATTCCATCTGGATATTCTTCAAGAGATCCAAATTTGAATGTGCTGCACAATTATCGAGAAGTAATAACACTTTTATCGACTGGCGTTGTAGCTCTGTGTCCCAATCCTTCACCCATTCTTTAAAAAGTGTAGAGCTCATCCATGCATTTCTGTTCGCACGATACATAACTGGTAAACTGTCCATTCCGAGTCCCTTAAAGCAGCGAGGCTTGGCACATTTTCCTATAACCAGCAACTTCCTCTTGTTTGTTCCGGACATGTTTGAGCAGCACAAGACAGTTACGCGAGCCATTGCTTTTTTGCAGCCAGAGAGAGTAACATGTTTATAACTTAAGGAGCCGTCCGGTGTAGCCCTATAGTACAACCCGGTTTCATCAGCAGTATAGATGTCATCTGCTGGAAATTTTTCAAGAAGCTCTGGCAGTTTTGTTGATTTCCATTCTTCAGCTCGAGCGCTATGGGCACTTTCATTCTCACCATGTGCTTCCTTAAATTTTACATCATGTCTAAATTTCCATCGAGACAACCAGCCGTCCGTGGCTATAAAATCTCCGTGGCCCAGCATTTTAGCGAGTTCTTCTGTTTTGTACTTTAACATTAGGCCACTTGCTCGCACGGCTTGTCCAGTAACAAAGGCAAACCAATCAATAAGGGCCTCATCGACGTCTGGATACTTGCCTTCATGTTTCCGTTTTTGGGAAGTACCTTGTCGTCCATCACATTGTGCCCATTCTGCTCGCAGATCTTTCTCTTGTTTTATCAGGAGCGATATTGTAGATTTTGCCAAGCAGGAAATTTCCACTAATCGACGCTGACTAGTGGTTGGTCCCTGTTCCTTGATCTGATCTAGGAAACGAATCTTCTCAGCTAACGTCAAGTCCCGTCGTGGAATTTTCTTAACATGCAACAAGACACGCACAGTTCACTGAGGTGAACTCGAGTCTGTCTCCCGGGTATTTCTATGGTTGACCTAGTCACCTGCTGTCCTATGATTTGCCGGACCTGTGTGTCCGCGATCACATGCAGTGCTCGAGAGTAGGCCCGCAATGCGGGCTCAGGGCATTCGGCTCAATGGACGTGCGGTACATCGATCGAGCGGTTAACGACATGTGAACAAGCATGTATGTCTTCGCTCCGCCTACAAGTGATGGAAACTACATTCAGTTTCGGGCGGTTCTGAAGCCAATTAGATAGATGTGCCTCAAGGTTGCCACAGTCCAGTTTATCCAAAGGCCAACTCGGATTACCGTAACTGAATGATACGCTTTCTTGCCCGACATATGAACTGTGGGTTTAGTCCAGACATCCAGGCACAGAACTTGATTTTAACACCACTGCTACCTGCCACCTTCTATCGTCTGGTCCGATTAAGCGGAATTCCGGTCCTAATAAGCGGCTAAAATTGGGCTAGCGTAATAGGATTCGTTTCCGTTCTTCAGAATTTGGCCCGAATAAGCGGCTGGTCCTATTAACCGGTGGTCCTATTAACCGGAATATATATATATATATATATATATATATATATATATATATATATATATATATATATATATATGAATCACAGTCTAAAGTGAGATTATTTGACACACAACGAGCGTTTCAAAATGATCCCTCCAATCATACCGAGTATTATTTTGATAACGGATAAAATCGTTGGAGTCAAAAATAAAAAGTAAAAATAACATGGTACGGGGGCGTCGGAGAATTGGATAGTAATTACGATACAGTCCAAACAGTCCGATAAAAGGGAGGGCATCATTTAGTTTCGTGTTTCAATCTATAAATCTTAGAAAAGATCCTCAAAGTACACGTACAGTGAAACATTAAGATGTATTCTGGACGAGAGAAGGGCAGAATGGAGGAAAAGCAAAGAAACGCTGTTAAGAGGATGACTGAAGAACTACCACGAGGCGAGAGATTACCCTCTTGGTTAACGGAGTGGCTGAGCAATGCGGTTTGATAACTGGATGGAGCAGCCACTATCATCAACTGCTATATTCAATCGTGTTGTTTGTCGTGACCTCTATGGTTTAATATCATTACAACGGAGGTTCGAGAAATATGCGTGGTTGACAAATTCCACCGCAAAAAGATGGTCTTCCAGTGTTTAGCAAGCTATCGGTGAAACGTTCAGTTCAATTTCAGGAATAAAATGTTAGCACCGTCAATGAAACGCAGGATAGGTCAGTAAGGAAGATTTATGTGATATCCAGCTGGGAACGAGTTAGCTAGCTTGACTGCGACAACTGCAGTGAAACGACATAGCTGGGTGTTGGATAAAAGCTGTCTCGGATTAGAGTTGACACTAAGGTAAAAAAAACAAGTGGATGGAGGAAGATGAGCTGCAAAGGACGTGAGAAAGGGTAGCCAAAGGCGATATAACGTGATAGGAAACTGAGATATAACTAAAACTATGGTTTATATGGAGCTGATTAGAACCGTGCTAAATCAGGTGGTCGCTAACAGCGGAAAGTTATCAAGCGGCCGTTTCGATCCTGCCTCCCTATGAGCCCAGGGGATTAGCTCTGCTAATGAGTCCCAAAAAGTATGAAACGGTTGTCAAATGAACTCCAAGTGTTGGCATCTGTCAGTTTGGGTGTGATGAATTCCATCTAGTGCACTGATTTCAAATGATCATGCCGAAGGGTACACAACAATCAAGGTTGGTTCAATTTCTGGTGCTCACCGAATTAACAAGAGAGGTGGAACGAGGAGGATTGCATTGATGGTGGTTCATGGATGGTGTTGCGGTGATGTTTGCATGAGGATTCGCCATCGCTAGACCGTTGAGTCTCTGGTCGGAGCAATCATGACCATCAATCGTGCCCAACCCATTGACTTGTGGCGAATGCAGTGGTTGGCTCCATCCGGTGATCAGGTCATACATCAGAACGCAACCAAGAGAATGAGCAATAATGGAAACTTTTCCTCCGCGGGACTCGAAGTGCGGATCACGAGTGCAAAATATGGTGTATAGGCGATTCAGCTCTGCGAGAAGTCCGGAACTAATTTCGGCACGATACAATGGGCTAGTGTAGTACATAATATCCATCGCAGAGTAGTTTAATGTGGTCCGTAAACCACGCACGTGCGTCGGAGTGATTGAGTCCACCGTGTCTCCGTCCAACTGTAGTGACGATCGCCATTCGACTGGCAGAAACTCCAATCGTTGAGTTGCGTATTCAGGTGAAGTGAAGTACTTCGATTGCAGCTTTGCACACGACTCACGCAATCTGTGCGAAGGAAAGGAAATAGAAGTCAAATTCACATATAAGGAAGTAACTGGGTAAACTATAAAAAATGGGCTTAACGGCATGTATTTGTGATGTGGTTCTAGAGGACAGCATGCTTTTAAAAAATCACGCTGAATTAAACGGTACTAAGACAAGAAGCTGTGGAGCAAACAATCCAGTGGGAAAGCAACGGATAGATGACGATCTGTCGCCCAGACAAATTTTTATGCAGTACAAAGAAAATATTTGAACAAGCACATTATTTCCAGGAACGGACAGTTTACATATTGTGGCTCGGATGAACTGTCGCCGATAAGAGTTAATTTTGGTGATGTTGATGTCCCGTTTTAAATTTCAAACGTGCTTACCCTGTCAATGTCTTCGAGTATTTGTCAACTCAATACAATAAACCACTATACTGAATACTGAGAATAGAGAGCGAGAAGATAAAAACCTATGTTGCTCCATCGTAGGTGAATCGGGCGCATGCATGGATTCACATCACTGATTCCTTCGCGGTGGCAACATACTGGAGCTGCACTACATCTTATCCGGGTGCGATAAGTTCCCTATAGCTGTAGTCCGCATCAAGGAACCTCTCAAATTCCGACACAGATTTTGCCTCGAGTATTGTCTCCGGCAACTTGTTCCAATACTTCTCCACTCCACGTTCGAAGCATAGAGGGTGGGCGATGCGCTTTAAATCCGGTACCACTAGTTTGTACCGGTGTCCGCGTGTGCTGCTTGGTGCGCGAACGTGCAGCAGCGGCCTCAGCATGTGGGTGGCCCAGGTACACTATGCGGTGCGTCATTATGAGATCAACTCGAAGGCGACGACATGACAGAGTATACAGCCCTAGTCTCCTACATCGGTCCTCATACGACATACCCCGGAAACTGGGGATGAGCCGTGTAGCTACATGCTGGACCCATTCCAGCCTCTGCACATCACCTATTGTGATCGGACAATAAGCAGTTGAGCTGTACTCAAGTACAGCGCTTATCATAGAGGAGAAAAGACGCGTGGCAATCGCGTCTAAGTGCCCAAAGCAGGCGTAGTCCTCTTACGTACAGTGCAGTGATTTCTAAGATTATGAAGAGAATAATTTAGGACGGGATATTTAAGTTCCGGCTTTCAAGCAACGGTATTTACATGTGACAAGACGGTACTCTAACACCTCGTCCTTTCACGTGCCGCTTAGAGTGTATCAGAGTATACATGCCGCTTGACCGCGTTGTCCATTAGACTAAGGTCGTTATCAATCACAGAGTAACTGCTTCCATGAACCCCATCTTAGCCCATAAATCAACCACCGGTTGTTCATTTTCACGACCGGTTACTAGTGATGTTATGCAAGGGAGTGTTTTAGGTCCACTATTTATCACTCGTATACATGAGCGATGTAGTCCATGTCTTTGTACATGATTGCGCTTTTATTTGTGCAGAGGGTATCAAGGTCGCTCACAAATTTCACCGAAACGTACTTTAGCATGTTGTGATTAGGATACAACAGGATTTAGATAAATTGGACATGTAATGCAGTGTGTGGCAAATGATATTTCTGGCAGACAAGCGCGATGTTGTCACGCATCCTTCTGCTCTCTCTCTCTTTCTCACTCTCTGAATTACCTTGGGTTGAACTCTGGTACATTTCCATTGGGAATTCATGAAAGTTCCACTAGAGAATTAAAATAGCAGCATGTACTTGGAACCGACCGCGAAGTGATGAATTCAGAGGTTTGGAAACAAAGGCTAGGCGTATTCGTTGGGTAAGCTTTCGCTTTCGACACAAAATCTTAGTCAGGCCAAGTGAACCAGTATACAATGGGAGCAGAATTTTATGGGCATTGTCACAGTTTAGACTGTCACTTCAAGCGGTGCAACCACAATGAAAATAATCCAGGTGTTCCCTTGTGCATCACTTGTGCGCATTTCGCTTCCGTATTTGCAAATGAATAGGTGTACACCGAGTTTGACGCGTGCCGGCTCCAGCCGAAACGGGCAGTCTAGATTGCAGCGTTGAAGATGCACGCAGTCTGCTAGCCGGTCTTGACAGAACCAAGTCTACCGGGCCCGATGGAATTCACCCTCTGATCCTAAAGCCACTTTTGGCCACCATCTCGCCTTCTGTGACTGAGCTGTTCAACAGGTCGCTGTCCACAGATTTAGAACCCAGCGACTGGAAGGCTCGGTTGAGGAGACGGTGACCGGAGCAAAGTAGGCAAATAGCGACCGATTTGCCTGACAGCTGTTTTGACTAAAACACTAGAAAAGATCGTAAAGAATGGTCGTTTACGGCTTCTCGAGTCGAAAAGCCTCTTAACACCCACACAGCATAGTTTCCTGAAAGGTCGCTCATGTATAAACAACCTGCTGTTAACGAGGCACGAATGGTTGCCAGCGCTGAAGCAAGGCAAGTCGGTCGACGTCATTTACCCTAACAAGGTGAACAATGAGATTCTCCTCCACAGAATGAGGATGTGCGGAGTTCGTGGTTCGCTGCACTAATGGATCAGAAATCTCCTTGTTGATAAAAAACGGAGTCCAGGTCGACAACCATCTGACCGACTGGTATCCATCGACCAGTGGTGTGCCCCAAGGCACTGTACTGGAGCACATTTTGTTTCTGATCCATATAAACAATGTGTCTCAGCTCCTCCGCTCGCCTTGTGCGTTGTATGCAGATGACTTGAAGATGTGTGGAGTAATCAGTGCGACCGATAACTGTGACCTGCTTCAGTGGGATCTTGACCATCTTTCCGTATTGTATGCAAGGTCAACCATCCGATAAACCCGGTCAAATCGCTGTTCATAAAGCTGGGTAAGTGTGAACACAGTCGAACCCACACTGTGGCCGGTCAACCGTTGCAGCCTGCGCCTTTCGTGAGAGATCTCGGTGTACTCTCACGCTGTGATCTAAAGTCCGTGAGCAACACGAATAGGCTTTATCAAGACGGACTTCGAATGCTTTGGGCGCTCAAACGCAGCTTCAACACTTGGTCCGAAGATAGCCACTCGCCTCTTCGTCTCAACAATACGAGCAAAGATAAAGTACGGCTCACCTGCTACTGTCCTATCACCCGGGGTGAGGTAGAAAGAAGTGAGCGGATATAGCTGGTCTCTGGCCTCACGTTATGAAGACCGATGCATGAGGATAAGACTTTACGTAATTTCTTATCGTCGAGTGCGGGTTGACTTCATCATGACGCACTGGATATTACATCTTGGTGATTACCACATGTTGAGGCCGCTGCTTAATACGCGCACACCAATTAGCACACGAGGATACCGGTACAAGCTCGTAGTACGGTATTTGAAGTGGGTCGCTCACCAACGCTGCTTCGAACGGAGTGCGGTGAATCTATGGAACTTGCCGCCGTACTTAGTCGAAGCAAAGTCGGTGTCGGAGATAAGAAAATCCCTTGACAAACACATTGCTGATATGAAATATTGGGAACGACCGCCAACACAAATCGTCAGTATACCTGATGGATTTTAAATGCAGCTACACAGAGATATATTTTCTTACTGCTTCCATCCAGTAACAGTAAACATGGCATTGACAGATAGCCTCATAATGGTGACGATGCGGAGTCGAGTTGCACTCCCCAACCTGATTATCGTCCCGGTTCGCTATCACATGCCGCTTTACTTGCATACGGAGTCACCTGGAATGATGAAGCTTTTGTGTCAAAAGCAAAATACACCAAACGATTGTTTTGTAACCTATCGAAACCAATAAAGACCTTGGTATCATTTATCCCAGTATTCTCAGATAGAGTTCAGTATTAGTTAAGCACTCAGAAAAAATGATTGTGTACACAAGTAGATCCTTACAAATGAATGAGGCCAGACTAAAATTTCATGAAATGTTGTGCTCATCCTCAATTGGAATATCGCTAGATTAGGTACAGCAATTTACGCATTTTGAGGTATTCAAAGGTTATTTATGAAATATCTCGTGTGGAGAATCGCGCATCACCTACGGAGAACGTTGCTGCCAACTAGGCATCGAGCCGCTGTGAGCTAGACGCCACAGGCTAAATTCGGTATTCTTCCATAAACTGATTAGTAGCCTCGCAGTTTACAATTTCACTGAGATAGTGAATCAGGAATCAGACGAATGCAAGCCAAGTTCGTAGAGTCAGAACTAAGCATCATTCAGAACTGTTATCCCCTGAAAGGTTACCCAATAGTGAGCAACATGAGTAATATGTTGAGGCTTAGTGCCAGTTTTGAGGAATTGTAGGAAAACGTTCCAGTAAATATAGAGAACAAGTATGGGCATTCTCTCTCTGCTCCGCTATTACTTTCTGTCTTAATTCGCCCATGCTTAACTAGAGGCGTCCATGTTAACACAGAATCTGAAAAGTGAAAGCCAATTGATCTTCATCTCGCATCTGCGCTCAACTTTTAGTTTTCGTCCTTACTCTATATCATGTCTATCACGATGGTGTTAATTTGTCATAGAAATCGAAAGGAGGAAGCAAACAGACTCACTTTTCACCTGCCCTTATAGTGCTTCTTTGTCAAACAGAATTAGCATGTGCGCGAACGTTTATCCACTTGTTCATCACCGCCCTCCACCCGCCACGTTCCTCAATGCCCATGCATCCAATGTTACTTATTTCCCCGTTCTAAGTAGTGAGGTATGCTGCTGAGTGGACCGCGCATTCTCATTGCCATATTGGCGCCGAGCCATGACTAGGGTAAGTGCAGAACGTCCAAAATATTTAACCGAGCTGATGCACATTATTTTTTTACAGATGGCTCATGCTGGTATATTGGTACATTGAATATACATGAATGTATCTTTCTCGGTTAACCTCAGTCGTTACTTCTACGTAATGTACCAAGGATAACAACGAAAGTAACAAAGTGAACATGAGGATTTGAAGCTCTACTGGCTGAGCTCAAACAAAGGAGACTATTTACGAATAGTATGAGAATCAGAAAAATACTAAGCATGTTCTCGGACCTACATCCTTCCAACAACTCA